TTTTGGTTTCATCCACATATGCTTGTGAATCTTTGTTCTCAGTGATGAATTTTGTTAAGTCTCGTAATAGGAGTAGCCTGACGGATGAAAGTAGTAGCTCGTGCATATCTCTGAAGGTCACGAAATATAAACCTGATGTAAAATCTCTGTCATCAGTGATGCAGCAGCAAAAGTCCCACTGATAATATCAAACGGAGTCATAAAGTTTTCTGTCGGACTATCAGTGTACATGTATACATTAAAAAATAAATGTATTTTTCATCATCATATACTGTGTTTTTGTCGCTCGAATGAATTTTATTATTTCTTCAAGGTTCTTCACATACGTACACCTTAAGAGATATCAAGTAGACGTAACATGTTCTCAAAAAATTAGGGTTGGCACGCAGAAGAATTCTGAGTCAGAGAAGAGATGTTGCTGGTTTTGGCACGCACTCACAAAAAGGTTGCCCACCCCTGTCCTAGAGTCTGACTAACTGGGTGATGCTCAGCAGCCTGGGATCCCCGCAGAGGCTGCAGTGGTAATAATCCAAGCTTGGCTCGGGCCACATTTCCTTGGGCGGATCTGGGGTTTCTGCTGGCGCTCGGAGATACACTGCAGCCAAACAGAGAGCAAGAAAGGGGAGGGGTGCTGCAAAGAACTGGGTACTTCCAGAGGAAGTTTTCAAAGAGCTGTATCCAGAGGCACGGGCTCAGCAGTGGCTCACATTTTCAATGGTGTTTTGACATGGAGAGCATTAGTAAGCAGCTCTGTCCCCCAGAGAATCTACTCACTGAACCCATCTAAATTCCAGACAGGGCCCAGGGGACCACTTCAGATGCTTAACCGGAATGGTACAACACCACGGCCAAGTCTATTCCCACTCACAAAGTGCTGTTACACCACCATCCCATTTCATCTTCACAGTGGCTGTCAAAGGGAGGGCCATAAGGATCTGTACAAGGACCCAAGGCCAGTAACGAGCAGGGCTGAGGCCCAACCTCAGGCTTCCAGCCTTCAAGTGCAGAGATGGTTGAATGGTTTAGCATGGGCTTGGGGGCTAGCCAGGTATGGCTATGCAGCCCTTAGCTCATTGATCAACATTAGCAACTTTGCTTGAAACAGTTTTCATTCTCTCTGACTCTCAATTTTCCCATCTGGAAAAAAGAAGTATCACCTGCCTCAGACTGTGGAGGTGAGGGTGGAGTGAGGCCATGCATAAAGCTCCTAGCACTGTGCCTCAGACAATAAAAATTCAAGTGTAATAGTCACATACACACATACCACACACAGTACACAACACATACATATGCACACAACATGCACCACACACCACAATGCACACAGCATGCACCACACTCGCATGCAGCACGGGCACATACCCCCACATTTGACACAAGACCACTTCCCCACCCTCTCCTTCACGGCCCATCCCTTCCTCTTTTTGTGCGTTTTATGACAAGCCCAAGTTTGTCTGTAACTTCAACAGATCCCAATACACTCGGCACAAAGTTTTATTCCAAAGATCAGTGTTTTCAGATTTCCTGCTCACAGTCCCTTTGCACCTGCCCCACATTTCATACTGCCACAAGTTTGTCTTTCTTTGGATCAATGGACTCTTCCTTCCTGGATATCCAGTAGCATCTCCAGTTTTCAGCAGGAGGGATATTGTCCTGCTG